TTGAAGGAGATAAGAGTATAGTATTTTTATGTACATTTAGAAGGAAGATATTAATAATTGCATTGAAAATATGAAATTATCAATTTTTGGTAATTGTAAAAATAATTGATCTTCTAATAAATTGTCAATGACGTAATACTAGCGATGTGTATACGATTTAAGTTACACTAGTAATTTGTAGATGAATAAAATTGTACTAGTAATTTGTAATTGATTTTTGTCACACTAATAACTTGTTAATGATCCAAGAGAGTAACGTGTCAATGACTCAAAGACTTTAGTCATCCTAATAACTTGTTTATTTTATAGTAACTTGAAAATGTCTTAAATTGTGCTAATATTTTGTAAGTAATATCAGTCATGTTCGTAATTTATAAACGATTACAATCATATTAGTAATTTGTGAATAATTTCAATCATATTAATAACATCACTCATACTAGTAATTTGTAAGTAACTAAAGTTATACAAGTAATCTGTGAATATATTAAGCCATACTAAATTATTAATAATATCAGTCGTACTAGTAATTTGTAAATATCTCAAGTCATGCTAACTTGCCAATAACATCCGTCATACCAGTAACTTATGAAGGACTTCCTAATAACTTGCAAACGACTTAACTCGTACGATTAATGTGCATAACTTCAATATCACGTTTCCCTAATATATTGCCAATTTCAACAATTCTCCATCGTAATATGAACAAAATCAATGATTACTTCCACCCACTATTTTTGAGTAATGTTTTCGGATGTAGAAGGAAGACGTGCGGTTAGAATTGGCGCGATGATTGCGCGGTAATCTGCTTTTCGTTTTGGTTGACGCAGGGGTGTATCATTTGTCGTATCTGTTTGGCCGGAGGCACCTTCGTCGGCAACGTGCAAAGGACAGAGAAAATATGTGGAAAGACGGAGAGGAATCTCGGACAGAGAGATGCAAATGGGGAGAAAGAGAGAAAGTAAAGGAACAACCCTCCTGACACGGGTTATCCTATAAACGGTAGCATGCCTCCAGCTACGCGGAGATAATCCAGCCCCCGGGGTCCGTGTGCGGTTGAGCGCTCGCAACAGTTACCATATTTGATTGTATCCCTTCTACCCTACTGGAATACAAAATAATAATACCTAACGTCGCGCTTACGAATCGAGAGATCCGATTAACGACGCTAGCCAACCTACCATCTTCTCTAATGTTACCGTCTGTAAAATACACTCGAAAGAAATTTGCTGCCACTATTATTTTTATTAAATAAATACTTCAAAAAGCTGTAGGTATACGTTTAAAGTACAAACATTTCTGGGGACCTCATTTAATTTGGTATTGTGTCATAAACGAAGTGCAAGTCTGCCTTCGCTAGGTTAAACGTTAGGGATTCAGATATTTGGAATTTGGAGATTTTGGAATTTTTAAATGTGGGAATGTTAGGATTTGTAACTGTACGGATTTGGAAGCGCAGGGATTTACGACTGTAGGGATTTGGGAGTGTGGAGATTTGAGAATTGGAAAATTTGGGAACGAGAAAATTCGGAAATATGGAGATTTGAGAATGTAGGAATTTAAAGATGTGGGTATTTGGGAGTGAAGAATTTAGGAATGTAGGGATTTGGGTACTATTCCATATGCAGATTTGGAACTTTAGGTATTTAGGAATTTGAAAATTTGAGAATGTGTGTATTTGACTATGTAAAGTCGGAATTGCATGAATTTTAAAATGTGAGAATTAGGGAATTTTAGTACTTAAAAAATTGGAAATTTCTGGAAATATTGGAATCTGGGAATGTCGAGATTTGGGATTGTGAAAATTCGGGAACTTTAGGTATTTAGGAATTTGGAAATTTGGAAATGTAGATATTTAAATATGTAAGAATTTCGGAATGTTATACGAATTTGGGAATTTTAGGAATGTGGGGATTTACAAATTTATTTAGCTACTTAGGAATTTGGAAACTCGGGAATATTAAAGTTTGGGATTTCCAAATTTAGAAATTAAAACATTTTCAGATTAAATATCTCGTCTACATGCATGTACCTAAGTTTTAGACTTAAAATATACCAAACTTTCAAATATAATGGTGAAACCCACTACTTTTTAGAATGATTAAAACTATTCTTTGCGAATGCGCTTTTTGTAACTTATCTGCTACACTTTTCTCTTTAAAGGCAGTACTTGGAACTGTAAATTGACAATAAGATATGTTCAACGAAATTTTTTACGTTCTACACATCACAACTGCCGGGTTACGACTATTAATAGATTATTTAATATAACATTTATATCCAAAATATTTTCTTCTTTAAAAATTGTACTCATTGTCAGTTACTATTTTTTCCATCCGTCAAATGTCGAAAATCAAAATTTGACATTTATTTTCATTTGGCGTCAAACTTCAATGTCGAGTTAGTTTAGGTTACGATTATTCATAGGTTATTCAATATTTATAACCAAAATATTTTCTTCTTAAAGAATTGTAGTCATTGTCAGTCACTATTTTTTCCACCTGCCAAATGTTGAAAATCAAAATTTGACATTTATTTTCATTTGGCATCTTCAATATCGGGTTAGTTTAGGTTAGGTTAGTCTAAAAGATATTTACTAGCTGTCACCTTGCTACGTTTAGTCTACAATCAAAACTTTTTACCGTAAAGTTACTTCATTTATCATATTCTCAAATTCGAATTTGATTGTGATGAGATAATCACTTTGGAAACCTTATGGGAATACTTGTAAACTATGTAGCGATATATTCTCATGATTAAACGTTTTGCATCCCGTCGAAACCCATCGCCCCTCGTGAAGGGGTTGCAGACGATGTCTGACGATCGTTCAGCATCCAACGTTCACCCATCGGCGACACGTTGATGTTTCCCTAGTGTGGACCTGAACTATAATGTACAGAGTGTATTAAGACACGCTCTTCACATTTCAGAGTAGAAGAAATTAAATGTGCAAAAACATTGTAACTCAAGATCATGAAAATCTATAGATAACATTTGGAATGTTAGGAATATTATTCTGGGGATTTGGGGATTTAACGATTTTCAAAGTAGAAGATTAGGTAACTTGCAAATTTTTAGGAGATTTGAAATATGGAAAGTTAAGTATCTGAAGATTATAAAATTTGGTAATTTTGGAATTTGTGCATTTAGAAATATAGTAATTTGACAATTTGGGAATCAAGAAAACATGAAATTAGTGGTTTAAAAATCTAGAGCGCGAAATTTATTGATAAAATTTCGAAATTTTTAAATATAGGAATTTTGGGAACAGTTTAGGACTTGATAATTTGAGAATTTGTAAATTTGACAATAGTCAAGAAAAAGTTCAATTCAATTGCTACGTTTTACAAAAAGAACCGAAGACCAAGGTATTTATCTAGTTACCCAGTTATTCCAATAGTTCAACCCATAACTTACAATAAATACTTGACATATGTAAGATTTATTACAATTAACACTATTATCATCGCGATTACCTCCCTATATAAAAAACACTAGTCACTTCAAAATTACAGAATCAAAATGGACGTCTAAAACGTAAGGACTGATTTCGGTCCGTGTTCGTCCAAAAATCAAAATGGCGGAATTCCATCGGACCCCCAGATCGAAAATAAAAAAACGTGCAGATTGCACGCACACGCGTGGCTCGTTTTCCGCTGTTCGTGACAGTGTCCGCCGCCCCGGCAGGAAAACGGCGGGTCGAAAAGAAATCGCGCGTTTGATGTGCCGCCAAAGGGAACGCGTGTATGGCGTGTACGATAAAACGAGAGGTTGAAAGGGGGGTTTCCGAGTTTCGGAGAAGGACGGAGATGGAATATTCCGTCGGTCGAGTTACAATTTCGTGTGGGTTGGTCGGTCGACTGCAACCACGTTCCAACCCCAGCCCACCCCTCTCTCTTTCTCGTTTCGCTTAAACGTTACAATTATTACTGGAAAAGCGCTGCACACGCATGCGGCAAACCGCGGGACCCGCCGACGAAATTACATTGATATTAGTATCGTTTCAGCCGGCAGATTAATTAATTAAAACGCGTGCCTCCGCGCGCCTCTTCCTCCCATTACCGAATACACACAACACCCCTTGCCACCCACACCATGTGCACACGCGTTTCTCGTCGTTGGCCACCTTTTGGCGTGTGCACGTATATAGATTCATATGTGCACCTATGCCGCAAAATGCGCGAACGGGTTCTTTGCACGCTCGAGCGACAAATCGAGCGTGCGTGGCGCGCGAAACTTTGTCGCGCGTCCAGTCGTTTCGAAAATACTGTTTCGCGGTTGATTGCTCCTCACCGAACTGCTTTCGAGCTTGTAAAGCAGCCAAATAGTCGAACTTCGCGACGGAGATGTAACTTGTTTCGTAAAATTTTTCCATCTTAATAGCTGCATTTTGATTATTGGTAATAAGAGTTAGACAACCGAGAAAAGGTCTTTTCTACAAATCTTGTGTCACTCGGTGACTAATTTGGGTCTCGTCCTTGAGCCCAGTTGTTCCATTGCGTTTAGTTCAGTGACAGTTTTCCAAACGTTCAGATTTTTCACGTGCAGTTAGAAATAAGAAAAAGTTTTATAAAATTCAATTCACTGTATAAAGAATTATTTCAGACACCTATTTCCAATAAGAGGCACAATGAAATATCTTTCATTTCGTAAAAGTCATTCCGTCGAACATCTAATTCAGAGTAATATTTAATTTTGAAATACAATACTGTGTGCTCGGTACAAGATGTGAGAGATAACACTACTTTTTTTGCCTTTTGTTTAATTAGTGTGTGTAACCACTATTTTCAATTGCTTCATTGCTTCAAATATATGTGAAGGAAAATGCTTTTTGATTAATCACAGCTGTGTTTATTTCATTATATTGCCAGAACTCATCTTGTGAATAATGCAAGTATGTTAGAAGTTCCTCCTTTGAAAGTATAAAGTTCAATGTTGTCTCGTATTTCTATGGGTAATTGCATCGTTACAGATACTTTTAGGAAAAAAGTGTGTCCTACCTTTCTTCGCATGCAGAATATCCGCAGGATCAGGTGGCAGGGCTGTACAATGGCTCGGACTTAAACTAGGTTGCAAGGATGGAAATGGACTGCCAGCTCCCGATGGATACCTAATAAAAGTTCATCTCACATTTCATACAAGTTTCTTCGAATCAAATCAACAGCTTCGAAAAGTTCAAATACATAAATATAAATCTTGTGCATTTCATTATTATGCTAATAACTGTACCTCCTTTTTGCAGTAGGCTTCATATATTTTAAGTCAGTCTGTGTAGAGTTAGAAAGAATGCGTACGGATTTGATTGGCTGTCACATTAATCTGATTTGTTGCAGTCACATTGATCTGTTTTGTTTCAATCATATACTGATAGGTTGCAATCAGATAAATCTAATTAGCTGTAGTGACATAGATCTGATTGGCTAAAGCTACATAGATCTGTTTAGTTATAGTCACGTAGATATGGTTGGTTGTAGTCAAATAGGTCTGATCGATCGTCTGTAATTACATAGATTCGACTGATTGTAGTCACATTGATCTAAGTGTATATGATTGCAGTCGCACAATACATATATTATAATAACTGTAACTACTACAAAAATTATAATAATTATAACAACCAGAATTATCACAACTACAATCGCACATGAATTTTGGATCAAAATAAATAGCATGAAAGATACAGAAGCAATCTTTCTATTTCTAAACAGGGGTTTGTGAAGTAAAGGAATATAGCAAACGTGATGGGTAAAAAGCACCATGGATTTTACCATGGATTCGGCCTGGGCCATCCGGTTGTCTGCCCGTTAAGTAGCCTAAGCTTGTCATAAACGCTCTCTGCCGGACTCCCGGCACCTACTCCAACGCCAACTGCAGCTACCCCTTGTTGTTGCTGTTGCTGCTGTTGCCGTTGTTCTTTCTGTGCCGCTAAATTTCTCAGTACCCTATTGATGGACGACACCTACAGCAACAAACATAGAAAAGGCGAATATTAGTGAGATATTTAATGTAATAAGTATTTGAATTTACAGGTACCTTTGAAGGTAGTTATGGTGTTTGCAAGAAATATTACACAGTTAAATGATTGTACAATAATTTCTATTACAATCGTTATATACATAAGTACAATTATTATAACCATTACAGAATTACATTTATTATATTCATTACTTAATTACATTTATTGCATAATATTTAATTACTATATTTTGTATTTAATAATTTTATAATACTGTTTAGTGTATGTAAATTTAGCAACTAATTTTTATTAAACCAAGTTATGAAAATTTGTAATAAACGAGTTCATGTTTATTGAATTAAGTTGTGAGTGAATTTTTACGCAATTAAATTCTGAATTCGCTTTTATGAAATTGTATATTCATTGTTAAACCAGTCTCAATAAAATTTTGCAGTAATTAATCAATTTAAAAGTTTCTATATAATCTTTATAAACATTTGGCATGTGATTATATATAAATGATCTTCACAATTTACGAAAAGAAGTTATGAATTTTAAATGCATAATTTATGAAAATATTACTATTGCTCGGGTTACTTTAACTCAATACCATAATTTTTAGATATAATTTGCATTTTTGAAAATATTTAGTTACATCTTGAAAATATTTAACAAGGTTGGCAGTATGTTCTAGAATAAAAATGGTATTTAGACCACTTCCACTATGTTCGTTTTCAGGGCTTCACAAATGTTCTTCAAACAAATTCTTGAAGAATCTCGATGCCGTCAGAGGCGCACAACACGATAACGCTTATTAGACGTTACTTTGCGAGCCAGCTTCCTGCATTTTCTCAGGAGGAATCTTACGAACAAAAGAAACAGACACTGGCTTGTTTCCAATCGCGTTTACCCAGGTTTCCCGCGTATCCCCGGGACGCCTTTAGAAGATTGCTGGTTGCCTCGAGAGGCGTCCTCCGCCGATTCGGATTTATTATAAACATGAAACGTGGAGGGGCAGGGAGACGCGCAGAGAGAGAGAGAGAGAGAGAGAGAGAGAGAGAGAGAGAGAGAGAGAGAGAGAGAGAGAGAGAGAGAGAGAGAGAGAGAGAGAGAGAGAGAGAGAGAGAGAGAGAGAGAGAGAGAGAGAGAGAGAGAGAGAGAGAGAGAGAGAGAGAGAGAGAGAGAGAGAGAGAGAGAGAGAGAGAGAGAGAGAGAGAGAGAGAGAGAGAGAGAGAGAGAGAGAGAGAGAGAGAGAGAGAGAGAGAGAGAGAGAGAGAGAGAGAGAGAGAGAGAGAGAGAGAGAGAGAGAGAGAGAGAGAGAGAGAGAGAGAGAGAGAGAGAGAGAGAGAGAGAGAGAGAGAGAGAGAGAGAGAGAGAGAGAGAGAGAGAGAGAGAGAGAGAGAGAGAGAGAGAGAGAGAGAGAGAGAGAGAGAGAGAGAGAGAGAGAGAGAGAGAGAGAGAGAGAGAGAGAGAGAGAGAGAGAGAGAGAGAGAGAGAGAGAGAGAGAGAGAGAGAGAGAGAGAGAGAGAGAGAGAGAGAGAGAGAGAGAGAGAGAGAGAGAGAGAGAGAGAGAGAGAGAGAGAGAGAGAGAGAGAGAGAGAGAGAGAGAGAGAGAGAGAGAGAGAGAGAGAGAGAGAGAGAGAGAGAGAGAGAGAGAGAGAGAGAGAGAGAGAGAGAGAGAGAGAGAGAGAGAGAGAGAGAGAGAGAGAGAGAGAGAGAGAGAGAGAGAGAGAGAGAGAGAGAGAGAGAGAGAGAGAGAGAGAGAGAGAGAGAGAGAGAGAGAGAGAGAGAGAGAGAGAGAGAGAGAGAGAGAGAGAGAGAGAGAGAGAGAGAGAGAGAGAGAGAGAGAGAGAGAGAGAGAGAGAGAGAGAGAGAGAGAGAGAGAGAGAGAGAGAGAGAGAGAGAGAGAGAGAGAGAGAGAGAGAGAGAGAGAGAGAGAGAGAGAGAGAGAGAGAGAGAGAGAGAGAGAGAGAGAGAGAGAGAGAGAGAGAGAGAGAGAGAGAGAGAGAGAGAGAGAGAGAGAGAGAGAGAGAGAGAGAGAGAGAGAGAGAGAGAGAGAGAGAGAGAGAGAGAGAGAGAGAGAGAGAGAGAGAGAGAGAGAGAGAGAGAGAGAGAACGAGGGCAAGAGCGGAAACGTAGGAGAGCGCTTCTGCCCGATGAAATGCGATGAGAACGGTAATTAAAACGATGCGGTGAGCGGCGTGTGTTCCACGAGGGAGTTAATTACCTCCGCCTTCAATTATATCCGTCTCGCGTCACTCCAAGGGGACTTTGGCTTCTGGCAACCCAAGTACGCACTCGCGCGTCTGCGGTGCTTATGATTCACCGAGAAACATAGTGTTCGCTACCGGGATACCCATCTGATACATCTTCTGCCGATCGCTTGTTCACCGATTGCAATTATCAGCTGTATAAATAAGCTCCAATCGCCATTAATCGAAAAATATACAGGACGTTTCCGGTCTGGTGGTATGACCGGGAAAGGGATGAATCTAACAGTAAGCCAAAAATGGAGAATGACGTTCTTTCACGTGTAAGTAGCTTCCTTTTTGGACGAGGCTGAGTTTCAACAGTTCTTAAATATTTTTAAACAGGTTTGTTCGCGGTGTAAAAAATTATATATGCAATAATTTTAACATTAACTTAGGAGTTACTAAAAGTTAGTAAATAATTAGATATAGGTGAAATTATGATGTCTTGAAATGGTATAATGTTATATATAATATTATAATATAATAGTATAATAGCAAAATGAAAATAGTAAAAGCGAAAAATAGTAGAGTAGTTTCATGGTAGACTACTATAATGATAGAATAATAGAAATGTAGCACACAAAAATATCAAAATAGTAGGGAAGTAGAATAATAGTATAATAGAACGGTAGAATGGTAATGCAGTAAAATGGTCAAATAGTCAAATGGTTAAATAGTAAAATAGTAAAATAGTAATATATTAAAATATTAAAATAGTAAAGTAGAAAAATAGCAAAATAGCAAAATAGCGAAATAGCAAAATAATAACACAGTAAAATAAAAAAATGTTGAAATAACAATAGAGTAAAATAGTAAAATATTGAAATAATAATACAATAAAATAACACCACAAACTAACACCATAACAAAATTATCCCAAACAGTAACTTAATCTGAATTGAACAAATTCCACGATCTTCAATAAAACAAGTACCCTAGTAGTTTAACTATAGAATTGCTGTGTATATCAGGTAGATGTACGATGTACACTTCACCATCGTATCTTTTATTTATCCTGTGCTGCTATAAGCTACTTTCGTCGGTTCTGTCACTTACAGTTCCTGTATAAATCCTAGCCAAGTCGTAAAAGAATTCCTGCGAACTAAAGCTGTATGTTCCCCTGCTGCCGATAGTTCTGCAATTTATTCCCTACTCTTCCATATATTTTCCTTCTATTCGCGAGGCATTCTCGGGCGTAAAGTTTTCACCGCGAAGCATTAAAAACTTTCCACTTTTGACTTTTAATACGCGTGAATAATTGTATATTCATTGCACGGAAGGAAGAGTTACAGCGAAAATTTCATGGGTTTCCTATTTGTTAACATTCATTTAATGCGGATAAGTTTTAAATCTTTAAAAATCATGAATAACAACTTAACAATAACATATCATGTCTAGGTAAAATACTGCTTGTGTTGCAAAAGGAACGAGTTAGGTTAGGTTTTTATTTTCAGTCAAACTTTAAGAGTTGTTATACATACTTTGTTATAATTAATTTTTTTATAAATGTAGTAGTATATTAGTTACTTTAGGAAGCAGTATATTACTTTATAAATGATTCATTATTTGCATTTACAATGTATGCTTTCACTGATGACACTTTTGTAGAATAAATAACATATGAATTACTTATATTCATATCTTTGATTTATGTAATAAATGTGAAATAAAATGAATGAACCGATTTACATTTGGAAATATATTGTACAAAATCTGATACGAAACACACCAAAATAACGTTTATGTCATATCAATGTGAAGTTTCAAGTTTGATGCAAATGGCTACCGAAACGTTTTCGATACAAAATGGTTGGTTTTCAGGTATCGTATAAAATGACGAAATCCATTTTAACTATTGAATTTCTTCAAAATTTAAATACATTGGTGCTGTATTTATTGTGGTTGTACAATCAAAAATGGAAGGGAGAAAAAATATTATGCTATTAATTATATAAATCGAAATTGAATTATTACATCAAGAGCATTAATTCTTAATGTATTAAATACAAATTGTGTTTAACTAAAAATACATAAGTATCTCGAAAAATATGCTTAAAATATTTGGTTGTTGCTTTATTAAATAGCCTCATTTAAATATAAATAAATACTCAATTTTATTAAATTAGGACGTAACGAAAGAACATAACCCGTACAATATACAAGGATAAGAAATTATATACAATTAAAATAAGAGATTATATTGTGTATCTGATTAGATCGTATCTAACGTGGCAGTCAATGTGTTAAGAGAGTTGTTCCATTTCATCGACAGGGAAAGAAAAAAGGAGAGAAAGAGAAGGCAGTGGAAGGCAGAGACGAGAAATTGCGTGTCCAGGATTAGCGAGGAGTTCTGGGATCGGCCATGGGAGATTTTCGTTCCCCATGGTTTGTTAGACCCGATGTCACAGTCCCACAGCATTGAAGAGAGCTGACATCTCGGACCCAGTGTCATCTCCCTCGGTGCACCACCGAGTCCAACACATTCGAAATACGAAACAGACGTTCTGATATTATACTCCTCTTCCTCGATTCCTCTTCCTTCATGTCCTCCGACGTCACACAGGACACGTCTACAACTTTGTGATCCCTAAATTTCGATGTTATAATGTAACTCAAGATTTACAGCTTCCTACTTTTACAAACAATATATTTTAGCTGCACCTTTAACCTTATAAATTCCAAATTTTATCACCACTTTTAATATTACATTGTTGAAGAACAAGTTTCAGACAAGACAGCTTTTGATCATTT